TCCACTCAGATACCAGCTCGCTCCCTACCCAAGCAAATGCACTTCAGTCACCTCCTCCATCTGTGGGCATAGAAACTTAAGCCTACCCAACTGTCACTTAAGTCAGAAGGCGGCAGGAGGCAGGATTAGCAGGGAGGAACCCAGGGACACAGTGTGTCAGAGGAGAAATCACAAAGGAATTCTGCCCCTCTTCCCAAAATTTACATCCAAAACTTCAAGTGTCCTTTCTCTCCAGCTTAGAGGTTAAAACCCCACACTCATGGGAACAGTGCCTGCCCCATAACCTGTTGCAATGCAGCAGAACCTCCCCTTTACCCCTTGTCTTATGCCTTCTCTTTGTCCCCTCCAAAGGAGGGCCAGGCTTAGATGATCTGGAACCATCCTTTGAAAAAGCTCAACTTCTCTGGCAGGTCTGAGAAAGCCTTTGTTCCCCTGGTTCCTTCTGTTACACTGCAGCAGGTGACTGGGAGTCCTGGGCGCCTCTGAAACAAGGCCAGCTCCCCTCAACTTTTACTGCAACACCCTGCAAGCAGCCACACCTTTCAAAGATGGCAGAGATATGGAATGGAGGTGGGGGGAGACTGCCCAGAAAGACCTAACCAGTATTGCCCCTTAATTAGCTGGGGGAAGCTCCAGAAGCCCATCAGGTAGGTAGCCTAGATTTGCCAACTACCTCAAGCATGGAACATCTCTCACCCCTGAGCTGGCTCTGGAGCCCAAACAAATGTCAGGTTGTACTTGTGTACTGTTTCTAGAAACCTCCAAGTCAGAAGGCCTAAATAGCAGTTTTAGAGCTTTCAAAGCTACTCACTTCCTATGGAAAACTTCAAAGGTGAGAAAGCTGGCCAAACCCTTCCTACTCACTCTCGTTCTCTAGAGACCCTACAATTTAGGGTAGGGGAGTACCCTTTAAGAGTCAAGATTTTTAAGTACTTAGGAAGAAATTCAAACAGGAGAACAAGTGGCTCAGGGCAAGGAGCGAGGTTCCTGGGAAAATGGCTGCTGTCGCCCCTCGTATCCTTAGGAGAAGTCTGAAAAGGAACATGGCACACTGACTGAGGCTGGTGCTGCTCTTCTCTGGACATCAGTCACCAGAGGCCTGGGCACTCAGTAACTTCTTGGCCTTTCCAAAGGTGATCAACCATTTGCTTTCAGTGTATATACACTGTAGGGTTATCAGGAACCCCAGCCCTGGAAAAGGCCATTCTATTAATAACAACTCACACAGGAGATTAAAAGCAAACAAAACCCCCACTCAACTGAAAACTATTAAGTGCTATCCTGGTGCTAAGACATTCATATAGTTCTTCATCCGATAAGAGGCAGGCTGCAGCTCCACAAAAAATTCAAAGATGAAAAGTAATCAATTGTCACAAAAATGTCTGACTCTGCCTCTTCTTCAATCAGCCCAGGAGCAGGCACTGAGAAAGGGCAAAGCTGGCTGGTGACTGTGTCACACATTGAGCCACTGAGACCAAAGGCCTTAAAGGCTTTACAGTCAGTGCCAAGCTTTGAGCTTTGCCACTTATATTGACTAGGGTAAAATATGGCAACAATGGGGGAATGTATGTGTTTCGGGATCACCCTGAGAAAGTGATCCCATGGCCGGTTTTCATTATTTCTAAGCCCATCCCAGGAATTGTATTCAGGCACCTCTGAATATCCCTGGAAATATTCAGAGGTGCCTGAATACCAACCACTTATACCAGCTGGGGCTAAGGTTAGGAAAAGGCTTTTAAGGAAGCCTTTTGTTTGGTACAGAGAACTCAGAGCCACTTTTCATCTAAGCACATGCACAACAAAGGAATGATGAAACAGGAAACAGGCTCCAGGAGTGTCCCAAAGAAGTCTATTTTCTCTTCCTGGATGGATATGAATGTATATTCTGATAGTTTGCTACCTTCATAGTTATTCTCATATTAAAAGTCTATTTTCTCCACCCTCTCCAGGCTGCTGGCCCCGGCCAGGATCCTGAATGGCTTTTTAGCACGCTCTAAGTTCTACATTTGGGAGCTACCAGATGACAAACCTGACTGGCTGAAAGCCGGACTGGCCTTGGGTACCTCCATCTTCTTGTGGATCTATCTCATCAAACATAATGAAGATGTTTTAGAATATAAAAGAAGAAATGGGTTGGAATAAACTTTTGATATACTAATACAGTATGTCCCATATAGTGATTATAACAGTTCCTCTGGATCTACCAATCTGTTGAGTTATAAACATAAGAGAAAAAGTTTTACGTGATATTACGTTGAGTCAGCATTTGTGCTTTGCTTAAACGGGAAAAAAAAAATCTGCTTTCTCTACCATCACAATCACCAGAATAACCCATCATGTGAAATAAAGACTGTTTCACAAAGGGAATGAAATGGAGATGGGCTCCTAACATGAATGACAATTTTCTGCAGGGGTAATAAAGATGCTATTCCTGAGTAGGAAGGAAGGAAAGATGTGTTCATAATTCAGAAGATCTAGGAACTGAAGAAAGTTCTTCTATTAAAACCTAGCCACTGGTTGTTAATGGGTATGGTACAGCAGACTAAGACAAAAGCCACAGTTTCACTCTAATTGCAGACAAGGGGCGGTTTACAGGCATTCCAACTGTAGTTTAGAAATAATTCATTTCTCCTGACAACCTACCTAGGGCTCCAAATTACTTGTTGAGGCAAAGAGGAATGACTAGAAAAGTGGAATACTGTAGCTGTTGGAAGTAGAAAAGGAATGCCTCAATTTCTAGGTCAGTGCAGAGAACATGGGCCCCCCTCTCTGACCACCACATCCTTCTCTCTAAAGACCTCCCTGCTGCTCCCACCCCAAGAGTCCTCTTTCCAAATCTTTATATTACAAACTAGCAGGACAACGCTACCTTTGACCACTGGCCAGTAACAGAGCATGCAGGTATCCAAAATCATGTAGCTTTACCAAAAGAGACTGTTCCAACTATAACTTGATCAAGCACTCCATGTTGTTAAGAAGCAAAGCAGGGGCTTCCCTGGTGGCGCAGTGGTTAAGAATCTGCCTGCCAATGCAGGGGACACAGGTTCGAGCCCTGGTCTGGGAAGATTCCACATGCCATGGAGCATCTAAGCCCGTGCGCCACAACTACTGAGCCTGCACTCTAGAGCCCGCAAGCCACAACTACTGAAGCCCACGGGCGCCTAGAGCCCGTGCTCTGCAACGAGAGAAGCTACTGTAATGAGAAGCCTGCGCACCTCAACGAAGAGTAGCCCCTGCTCACCACAACTAGAGAAAGCCCGTGCGCAGCAACGAAGACCCAACACAGCCAAAAATAAATAAATAAAATACATTAAGAAAAAAAAAAGAAGCAAAGCAATTAACATATACACACTACTATATATAAAATAGATAACCAACAAGGACCTACTATATAGCACGGGGAACTATACTCAATATTTCGTAATAACCTATAAGGGAAAAGAATCTATCTATCTATATATATACACACACACACATATATACATATATATATATACATATGAAACTGAATCACTTTGCTGTACACCTGAAACTAATACAACACTGTAAACCAACTATACTTCAATTAAAAACAAAAAAGAAGCAATGGGAACCCATACACTGACATTCCTTTATAACCACTGCCCACCAAGATAATCAAATCTACTGCAAACAAGCTTTCACATGTGATAAAACTACAGACACTTCTGTAAAAAGCAATGTGATCCCAGATGAGGCCCATCCTGAGTTACACACTTTTTTTGTGAGTGGGGAAGGTGGTCTCCTCACTGAGCCTTCATTCTGGCCAAGGCATATGTAAGCAGACTGGACCAAATATGTTCCAAACTCAAATGAGCAAGACCAAACTGCATTCAAAAGCCAAATGTTTCATGAACACCAGGATGACTTTTACTTAAAAGTACTCTTGTGAAAATATCTACATTATGACCTAATAAATGGTAATAAGCTGGCTGCTGTTTAAGATGACAAAGAATGGGGCTTTCAGGATCTGTGCAACTAGCCCATGGTCAACAGTCAAAAACTGAATTCCCACTTACCCATGATACTGAGAACGAGGGTAATTTTAGGTTAGAGCTCAATTCTAACTCCTTTACCCACAACTATTAATAGTCAAACTTCTTTGCAAGGTCAAGGATGCTAGAAATGCTAATAATAAGTAGCCAGCAGCTAAAATGAAGCACTTTAAAGGTTTCAGGTATCACACCTTAGTTCTGAGATGGAATAGTGACACTGAGAGATAAGACAAGTTAAACAAGTTTAAAACCAAAAGCAGTGGACATTTATTCCTCAATTTTTGTGCAAGAGTGTAAAGATGCATTTGAAAGAACCTGACGGCTAGAGAGCATCAGCCATTGCTTTCAGGCTGGCCTGGTTTACAGTTAGATTAGGAGAAGTAGGGGGAAAAAAAGTAACTTGCCTAGTTCACAGGAACGATGTTTCTGGCAAACACAGCTGTTTACAAGTTTCAAACTACATTTTACTAGCGTCAAGGGAAGACCAAAAAGCCACATACAGTACAATTTAAAATTGGATGAACATCCTGCAATGTTAGTGCAAAGTAATTATGTAGACTCTCCAATACAAGATTGTGCTCATGTTTCCCAGGTTTGGTCAATGTTGTTTTTACAATCACAATCACAGAAGCTGAACTTACCAAATAGCAATGCCTTTGTTTTATGTCCTATGTACCAAAGGAATGTCACAAGGTTTCAGTGAAATGCAGCTTAGTTTCAATAATAAAGCAAATTTCTTATTTAGTTTAACAGTCATGTTCCCGGAATACTGCACATATAAATTTCATGAAAATTCTTTTAAGCTTATGCGTTTATCTTGTTCAGTAAAATTACTTTCAAGATATCCTTTTTACTATGTAAACTGAATTGTTTCATGATTTTGAAATGCAACCAGTATAAATGAAAACATTTTAGGGGTGGGAAAAAATCCACCACTAATCTCAGCTAGACAAAATTCTTAAAATCAAAAAGCCTATTCACACAAAATTATATGTAATGACTGTAGTAATCAGTTTATTACACAGATTAATCATTCTTGAACGTACAGGCTCCAGAGGAGCAATTGGGTCTTTAAATATACACAAGTATTTCCATCGAATGAATTTTCACCCTTACATCCAGATAGACCTAAGCAGTTAAAAACATAAGAAAAATAAGAGCTATTAGCTATGTATTAACTGAGAAACCACATACAAACCAAAGAATATGGAAGAGAGAAAGAGGGGCTGAAGGACGAAGGTTGAAGGGTGGGGAGATGTAAAAGAGTTGGAAACAAAGCCCATCACACTTTACTTACTAATAGCTCCAATCCATTTAAATGTTGACCAGTTAAACTTAGACCTTAAAATACAGGATGTAGGTAGAGTTTAATCTGATTGGTCATAACTTTCACCTAAGACGTTAAGTCCTTCGGAATAAAACGAATACAGAAACAGCTTCATGTTCTTCGCCTTGCTTTTCATAACTGTTTTGAGTTTAATGGGATTTCACTTAAAAAACAATCTCCTACAGGTCAGTGGAGCTTTTCTTCCCCATCCAAGCACACACCATACCCACCACCCCTCACTCTGCCGTTATCCAAATTTAAGTCAATAAGGAAAGCTTTTAGTCTCACACCTAGGTTATGCCTGGAGAACTGGCTTGTCACACACACACTTCTCTGCTAGGAGGCAATGTTGGTACAGAAGTACAGTATTTCTAGTTTGTTGTTCCAAGTATGTACAACACGCAGCACTGCTGTATCAGGTAAACATGTGCACAGGGGAAGATGAGGCGTGGGCTCATAGAAAGCAGTCAAATGGAAATCAAAAGGACTTTCTCTTTCAGAGTTCCCCTATCTTTATTTGTAGAGGTTATCCAATAATTTCTTTAATTACATCGCATACTTCTGAGTCCATTCCCGAGCTATTCTGTTGTACCTGTACACACAAAGAGAAGCTTAGCTTAACACAGGTGAGGAGTCAGTTAGAAAGCAAAAGAGTTCATTCATTATCGAATGCAGTAACTTGAAGGGAATAACTTATAGTATATTCAAGCTAAGCCATCTTCCTACTCCAAATTTCTAATAAGCATTTATTCAATGATAGTGGGAAATATCCTATAAATGCTACTAATACAGGATTCTAATTAAATTTTAGCACTTGCTGGCATACCCTCAGTCTATACTTGATCGACGTATTTCTAACAGACAATCTTCAACCCTTGTTTGACTTATTTGGAGTTCTTGGAACAATATAATTCTATATTATATGGTTCTTGAAATCATATAATAATGATTAAATTGACATAACACTTTCCCCTGCATCAATAAAACAACCAGTTCTGGCAGGACTTATTTTAACAATTTGGTTGCTAAAATGAATGGGTTTATTGCTCCAGAAGAACATTCTAGTAGTAAAATAAGCAGGGCAAAAGGATCTTTAATTCTTTGATCAAAAAAGTTCTGCTGACCATTACCGCCACAATGACTTGGGAAAAATGCCCATAATTCTAAATATGGGACAAAATGGTTCTCTAATCAAAAAATGTATTTATGGGCTTCCCTGGTGGCGCAGTGGTTGAGAGTCCGCCTGCCGATGCAGGGGACACAGGTTCGTGCCCTGGTCCGGGAAGATCCCACATGCCACGGAGCGGCTGGGCCCGTGAGCCATGGCTGCTGAGCCTGCGCGTCTGGAGCCTGTGCTCCGCAACGGGAGAGGCCACAACAGTGAGAGGCCCGCGTACCGAAAAAAAAAAAAAAAAAAAAGTATTTCTAAGTAAATTCACAAATAGAAAAATGCATGATCTAATTTTATTCTGAATGCAGCCAAGAATACATAGTTATAGATACTATTCAGACCTAAATACAGAAAAAAACTAAACTAAGAACCAATTGCTGTTAGAATTCCCCATTCTCAATGCAGCTCCATTTTAAAATATCCTATTTATATGCCTCTCTAACCAATAATTCAATTAATTGTTTAATCTTTTATATTTTAACTTTAGAAAATTATCCACTACCTCCCAACTATTTCCTTCACACTCTAATTGAATAATACACAAAACAAACAAACAAAAATTTCAATACTCTCAGTTATTATCTCTTGTGATATCCTGACCACTCTTCAATAATTCACAATACAATTCTAAAATATGTAAATTCTACAAGTTTTGTTTTAAAGGAAACTTGGGGCTAATAACATTTATTAATAATCAATGTCTTGTAACATTTATTCACTTTCTTTTTTACACTATTCCAAATGGTAGAAAATCAATTCTCTTTCCCATTAATTTATAAATACCTACCTAAGACAAATGGGCTCTTGATGCAAAATCTTTACACGTCAAAAGCCAAGCAGAAGACCTAAAGCTGTTGGAAAATATACTATAGAAAAGTTTTTCTAGGCAGTAGGAGTCATGAAACAATCAGATATAAAATCATTTACTTATAATGATACTCGATGCAAATACTCCTCTTTCCTGTCCCCAGGTGAGTATATTAGGACTTCATTTTAAGTATCTGACAGATACTCAGCCCTTAGACAAAAACATCTCCACCCTACCACAGATACTCTGCTGTCTGGAGACCATACTTACTTTTCTCTATCTGTTTTGTAGATCCGAGCAATCTCAGGCACTAAAGGATCATCTGGATTGGGATCACACAACAGAGAACAGATGGACAAAAGTACTAGAATGAAAAAAACATACAAATTAGTAGAGGAACAAAAGCAAAAAGGTTGAAAGAAACATGAGATGCCAACACAAGAGAAAATTCTAAGACCCTATTTATATTGTAGTGCCTAACAGCTTTGTAAGCTCTACCTAAGTTTACAGTAACAGTAATCAACAAAGATTCTAAGATTTCTCTATGCTTGAACCCCTGAGGAAGCTGGCCCAGGCTGGTGAAGTGTCTTGCCTCATGTCCCTGGTTAGTGAGTAAAATTAGAGTGGAATTAGAATCCAGGTCTTCCAAATCCTAGACCAATAACACTTTTCCCAGCTTATGAAGTTCAATTTTTAGAAGCCCATGTTCAGGGATAAATGGCTTTCAAAATTCCAAAGACAACCACACTACTGAATGCTCTTAGTAAGAAATGACAACTATGAAATCCAACAATCACTGCTTTCTCCATGGCAGGTACTATATATTCAGATGCAATGGATTTGTTTCATTTTTAATTGAAAACGATTTAGTCTAAGAACATAAAGGCCAGTACTTGCTCCCAAATGGGGCTGGCCACACTTATTATAGAGGATACAACATATCTCAAACTAAAGTCTCAAATTATTTTCAGTAATGATTTAGAATCTCATCTAAGCCATTTCCTCAGTGACAACCTGGAATGTAGCAGACAGATCTCAACAGTACAATTTCCTCTGTTCAAATTCATTAACTTATGTATTCCTTATTGAAAGCAAAGAGGAGGCTAAGGCCACTAATTACATTAAATCCAGTGGTCTCTGACATACTGAAATAAATTCCAATCCTTCTATTCTGATGTTACCAGAACTCAGCTACCTTATTTCTCTCTAATGTTCTGTAGCAAGAGACAATGATTCAGAGCCCACATTACTCCCCAAACATCAAATTCATCAGGAAAAGGAATATTCCTTTTCCTATCAAATCTATTCTACGGAGATGAGGGGCTTCTGAGAGATGAGAAAGTTTACATGCCCTTTATCATTCAGTTGTTAACAAAAAAAGCTATTTCCTTGCCTTAAGAGTATATGGAAAACAAAAAACATCAGGCAAGCTGTTTTCTGACTCTTCATTCTTGTTGCCCACAAATGGCAGATGGCATTCCCAAAATATCTTCTCTTCCCATTGTCAGGTGTATCACCTGATGCCCTCTTCAAGTACAGAACATTCTAACAGCAATTAGGAAAGATTTCATGTATTTCCTGGAAATGACAACAAGGAGTTATAGATCTTTGAATGTTCATGAAATTACTGACTATAGAAGAAGAAACTTATCTGGCCTATCAAGCTGGCAAGAATACAACTGATTCTTCACCTAAAATTAGACATACGACCATTAGTATTTGTTAAGTTCCCTTTATTTACTCTTCCAAGTATTTCAATAAGGCAACTTTAAAAAGACAAATTTTTTAAAAAATTGAAGTATAGTTGATTTACAATGTTGTGTTAGTTTCAGGTATACAGCAAAGTGATTCAGTTATACATATACATATACATATATACTCTTTTTCAGATTCTTGTTGTGCATTATAGGTTATTACAAGATACTGAATATAGTTTCCTGTGCTATACAGTAGGTCCTTGTTTATCTATTTTATATATAGTAGTGTGTAACTATTAGTTCCAAACTCCTAATTTATCCCTCCCCGCTCCATTTCCCCTTTGTCAACCATAAATTTGTCTTCTATGTCTGTGAGTCTGTTGCTGTTTTGTAAATAAGTTCATTTGTATAGTTTTAAAAAGATAAGTTTTAAGTAAATAACTTTTCTCTCTTTCTTTCCAGGAAAGGAAGGTAGGATGCGGGTTATCTGAACCTGGTAAAACAGTTCTTAGTACACTACTTAGATCCTTGAATTTGTAGAAAATTGATTTGGCTTATAATATACTATACCTTCTTTCTCTATAAAGAGAATAACTTCTATTTCCACAGCTTGTAGAGACTCTTCACTGAAGTAACTAAATTTTCACCAACATATATATATTCCTCATCAGTACATACCCCTTTTCATTAGTGCCATAACCCACAGTCACTTCCAATTCTAAAAACATATAATCAAGTGGCTTTATGATGCACTTAATCTGCTTCCTTTAAGTTTTCTGTATATTTAGGTCCCTTACCTATATACTCAAAGCGGAGGGCATTTCGGGTCAAGATTACTGCCCTCAAAAACAGACTATGGGGACTTCCCTGGTGGTACAGCGGTTAAGAACCTGCCTGCCAATGCAGGGGACAAGGGTTTGAGCCCTGGTCTGGGAAGATCCCACATGCCGTGGAGCAACTAAGCCCGTGCACCACAACTACTGAGCCCGCGTGCCACAACTACTGAAGCCCGCGTGCCTAGAGCTCATGCTCAGAAACAAGAGAAGCCACCTCAATGAGAAGCCCACACACTGCAATGAAGGGTAGCCCCCACTCGCCGCAACTAGAGAAATGCCCGTGTGCAGCACCGAAGACCCAATGCAGCCAAAAATTAATTAACTAATTAAAAAAAAGAAAAAACGGACTATGTTAAAGGGATAATTATATCACATACAGGATTCAGGCCTTCTTTAAAACACTAAACCTAGGTATGTTGATATAACCAAATTCAACAAAATGGCACTGCAGGTATTTTAAAAGATAGCTATCTAGACAGAACATATCAAGTCAAATAAACTAACAGCCCTTATGATTTAGAACAACTGAAAAAATCAACACCAGGCACAGAAGGGAAAGGGAAAAAAAAAAGCTATGGTAACAATTTCAGGTATCTAGACCCCCTCGCCCCCCCAGACACACAGACACACACACAGACACACAGACACACACACACACACACAGAGTCCCACCTCTCTTGGCCCCATTTATATCTAGATTTCTATCTCTACAGCTACTTGGTAAAAGAAGAGCAACCAGGCCAGGAAATCACAAGAACAATAGGCATATGAACACTTTCACAAGCAGCCCTTGAATTACAAGGAGGCCTTCAAAAAGAAAAGGGGTCACTTATCTGGAAAACTATTTTAGTCACAATTTTGAAAAATATGGTCCTCTGATTTTTTGTTTGTATTTTTGCCTGGGACCCCAGAAATCTTCATTTAATGCCCCAGAGTTTTTGTTTCCTTCAAAAAATTAACTTTTAAGAATATGCAAGTCTTACCGTAATTACAACATGACAAATATCCAATAATTTTTAAAATTAATTATTTATTTTTGGCTGCACTAGGTCTTTGCTGCTGCGTGTGAGCTTTCTCTAGTTGCAGCGAGCGGGGGCCATGCTTCGTTGCAGTGTGTGGGCTTCTCACTGTGGTGGCTTCTCTTGTTGTGGAGCACGGGCTCTAGGCTGCGGGCTCAGTAGTTGTGGCATACAGGCTTAGCTGCTCCGCAGTATGTGGGATCTTCCCAGACCAGGGCTCGAACCGATGTCCCCTGCATTGGCAGGCAGTTTCTTAACCACCGTGCCACCAGGGAAGTTCCTATCCAGTACTTTTTTTTTTTCTTTTTTTGGGCTGCGTTGGGTCTTCGTTGCTGCATGTAGGCCTTCTCTAGTTGCGGCGAGTGGGGGGCTACTCTTTTTTTTTGGGGGGGGCTACTCTTCATTGTGGCAGGCTTCTCATTGAAGTGGCTTCTCTTGTGGTGGAGCACAGGTTCTAGGCGCATGGGCTTCAGTAGTTGCGGTGCATGGGCTCTAGAGTGCAGACTCAGTAGTTGTGGCGCACGGGCTTAGTTGCTCTGCGGCAAGTGGGATCTTCCCGGACCAGGTTTCGAAACCGTGTCCCCTACACTGGCAGGCAGATTCTTAACCATTGCACCACCAGGGAAGTCCCCTCCAAAACTTTTTACAATAGTGCCTTTATCCCAGTTATTTAGGTGCTTACAAGGTACGAGTCAACTATGGATTTTTTGCTTTTTTAAAAAAAAAAATTTATTTAGGCTGCATTGGGTCTTCATTGCAGTGTGCAGGCTTTCTCTAGTTGCGGTGAGCGGGGGCTACTCTTCATTGCAGTGTGCGGGCTTTTCATTGAGGTGGCTTCTCCTGTTGCGTAGCACAGGTTCTATGCACTTGGGCTTCAGTAGTTGAGGCACACGGGCTCAGTAGTTGTGGCCCCCAGGTTTAGTTGCTCCGCGGCATGTGGGATCTTCCCGGACCAGGGATCAAACCTGTGTCCCTTGCATTGGCAGGCAGATTCTTAACCACTGTGCCACCAAGGAAGTCCCCTCCAATACTTTTTACAATAGTGCCTTTATCCCAGTTATTTGGGTGCTTACAAGGAACCAGTTAACTATGCATTTTTGCTTTTTTAATCTTCATAATAACAGTGAAATAGTTTTTATCATCCCTATTCTACCGATGAAAACTCTGTGGAATGCAGAAGCCAATCTGTCTCAAGTCTAATCCAATAAGAGGTGGAGCTGAGATCCTAATAAAGGCAGTTGCATCCAGAATCTATGTTCTTTAACATGAAACTATGTTGCCTCTTGTCTAAATGTATGCATTAAAGAAATGATAAAATTTAAGTAGACAGAAAAGAAAAATATTTTTATGTACCAAATTTCATCCCCAAATACCCAAACTATTTCTTTCTAGCTATTTAATATACTTTCTATACAACGCAAGTTACAGTGTGTAACACTTTATCTCTTTTCTGCTTTTTTCAAACATTGTATTTTCCTAATTCCCACAATATTTTTAAGGATCAATACTCTTTTGAATGCATCTTCCAGAACCAATATATTTTCTCCTCTACCGTTGAGTCTATATGTAATTTCTATTTTTCAGAAATAACACTGTTGCAAATGTACTTGCACAGAGAACTTTTTTTAACCGTTGGGCTTATTTTTTTAGTACAAATGAATGAACCTAGAATTACTGGGTCAAAGGGTATTAAATGATTAAATCTCTTATTTCTTAATACATACTGGCAGACTGGACTATACAAATCTATACTTCTATCTGTAGCATATATAAGCACTCATTTCAATGTAGTTCACCAACATTTATTTTTCTTTTGTAAAGATCTTTGTTAATTAAAAAGGTGAAAAATGGGAACTTATTTTAATTTTTATTTCCTCTGTTCCTTTCTGTCCATTGGGATCTAGGTTTTTCCTTACTGATTTATATATGTTCTTCATAGCTGTTAAACATATTGGCCCATTATCATACTTGTAGCCTATTTCTAGTATCTGTACTTTGACAACATTTAATCCACTTGTGATTTCATTTGGGTATGATGTCGAGGGGTTGAACAATCTCACATCAACAAATAAGATAATATTCAGTTCAGGAATATAAAAAAATCCCCAACCTCCTCATATAACTAGGTCTTATTTTGAAGAACTATTAGAGGGGGACTTCCCTGATGGCGCAGTGGTTAAGACTGCGCACCCAACGCAGGGGGCCCGGGTTCGCTCCCTGGTCTAGGAACTAGATCCCACATGCATGCCACCAGTAAGAGTTCGAATACCACAACTAAGGACCCTGTGACTTCCCTGGTGGTGCAGTGGTTAAGAATCCGCCTGCCAATGCAGAGGACACGGGTTCGATCTCTGGTCCGGCAAGATCCCACATGCTGTGGAGCAACTAAGCTCGTGTGCCACAACTACTGAGCCTGCACTCTAGAGCACGCAAGCCACAACTACTGAGCCTGTGTGCCACAACTACTGAAGCCCGCGCACCTAAAGCCTGTGATCCACAACAAGAGAAGCCACCACAATGAGAGGCCCGTGCACCGCAACGAAGAGTAGCCCCTGCTCGCCACAACTAGAGAAAGCCCGCATGCAGCAACAAAGACCCAACGCAGCCAAATAAGTAAGTACATAAGTAAGAAAGTAAAGAAAGAAAGAAACAACTACTGGATCTTGCATCACTAAGTTGGTAACTAACTTTCTCTACACATTTTCACCCCCCCACACACACACAATGTACCAAAGATTAAGATGCTCAAATAAAAATTTATATTAAATTGATTATCTTAGAGGGTGATTCTGTTCCTGACAGAAACCTAAAGATAAGAGCTGGTAAAACCTTAAAGAATGTGAATATGAATTCACCTATACTTTGCTCTTCAAGAAACTACTGTCTATGCTTATAGTATACAAGCATTCCTCTACAATGGCTGTTTTTTTATTATTCTGGAACAATATCTATCCTTTCCATTCATGGATCTCAAGGTTGGAAGAGACATTGTTTGTCTTCTACTTTTACTATGCTCTAAAAAAACATTCATACCAAGTAGTCATATTCCAACCTATGCTTGAATAGCAAGAGCAATGGACAGAGAGCAGTCACGACACCAAGGAATACCTATGCTTGAAAATCCAGCTCTCTCCAGTGGGTCTAAAGGTCTTTTTAAGAATAAGGGGCGGGGGGGGGCTTCCCTGGTGGCGCAGTGGTTGGGAGTCTGCCTGCCAATGCAGGGGATGCGGATTCACGCCCTGGTCTGGGAAGATCCCACATGCCGCGGAGCAACTGGGCCCGTGAGCCACAACTACTGAGCCCGCACGTCTGAAGCCTGTGCTCCACAACAAGAGAGGCCGTGATAGTGAGAGGCCCGCGCACCACGATGAAGAGTGGCCCCCGCTCGCCACAACTAGAGAAAGCCCTCGCACAGAAACAAAGACGCAACACAGCCATAAATAAATAAATAAATTACTTAAAAAGAAAAAAAGAATAAGGGGGATTGCTACTTCCTCTTAAAAAAGGAATCCGAGCAATCTTTCCAAGAATAAGTAATCTTAAAAAGACAAAAAACACAGTAGGATTTTTATATTGATATCAAATACTCATTCTATTACCTTTTGAAATAGTTAGTGCTGGAGACCACTGTGACCGTAGAATATCAAGACAAATGCTGCCATTACTGTTAATATTTGGATGATAAATTCTTGTTGTAAATGCAACCTATCAAAAAAGGAAAATTTTTTGTAAACTGTTTCAATAGTATTGTCGAAAGTAGATACAAAACAATTGTCATATCCCAATTACCTTAGGTGGTTTGAAGGGGTAATCTGTTGGGAAATGAATTGTCAAGAAAAATACTCCACCCTGATAGGGACTGTCATTCTGTTGATAACAAGAAAAGTTGGATTAAAATGAGTAAATTACATAAACTATTTATTCTGAAATTAATCTGAATACTTACTGGCCCCATTATTGTAGCTTGCCAATGGAACACTGAAAAAGAACAACAAAAAATCACCATGAAGCAATATCCACAGTATGCCTACACCATAATAACACATCATTCCCCATGTAATCTCAGTTCATTTATTAGCAATATGATGAGTCCTGAGCAGGATGAGGAATCTAAATTAAGTTGGAGTCTGAACAGAGAAAACAAAAATGACTAGCATGGTATAGAACACTGATAAGGTGCTCAACAAAGAAGTATTTGGGCTAAAACATCTTGAAAATTCATGTCAGGGAGACAAAATTCTTGACAAGGTCCAAAATTTCACTTTTAAACAGGCATTTCCTTACCTCAAAGGGTAAAAAAGAACCACAAGATTCAATTCTTTCATGTGTTATATCATTTCCCCAACACAAATATATATAATATACTCCTTTTATAATACTGGCATAGAGCAGAACAGTAAACTTAAAGTAGACAATACTCAAATTAGGAAATGCTGGCTTTTTTCCAGTGAGAAAAAAATTTCCAGGAGTTCTCACCTGTAGGTGTTTAGAATTGCTGGTACCTCAGTAAATAAAGAAAACATCAGCTGAAAGCCCCAAGCTTGATTACAAACTCGGGATAATCCCAATAAATTATATACTTGTTTAATAAGGAAATTTTCTCTTCAAACTGCAAAAAATGGTGCTTGTTCCATTTCCAAGGTAATGCCACTAAGGACAACACCAAGATCAAAAAGCCAGTTTTCACTTCTAAGCAAGCTACTTAGCATTTAACATTCACACTAGGATTTGAGCAAACTAAGGGAAGCTATCACTGGGATTATACATGAGCAAACCAAACCACCTAACCCTCGACACAAAGAGGAAATGTGAAGACTAAAAAACCGCACGAAAATCCACTGGGATATCAGGCCAAATCCTTAAATTCCTTCTGACCACCTGCATGAGAACTGACCCTATAGTTGGTCTGCCCCTCACTGGGGCCTGAATCTACAAAGAGCAGCCTGTTTATTAGGAATTAAAAATAAAGGATAGGTACTGCTGAGGCTCTCCTTTTTACGTTACCCATCATTAGTACTGAGAAAAATTCCTCATAACTTCTGCCAACCAATTTTTTATGGATTAAGCAGCTAAGGAGAAAGTCACTTTGAGTCACTAAGATTAGTCCCAGTATCTTTAACAAAGGTCCTATTAAAAGAGCCCTAAGGTCCTATTTAAAGAAACAAGTCTCATTCTGTTTTTAATCATAAATATACTTACAATTCGAGTAAACAAAACACACTGATAATTGGAGTAAACAATCCCAATGACAAAGCTGAAAACACTATTAAAAATGACCAAGCTACAGGCCAAGGGAATTGTTTTAAAGCAATCTTATTCTTCCATTTAATCCTTCTATATTTTTAAAATTTGTGGCTGTAAATGGGAAGATATATTTATACCTGCACTCTTGTTAAAGGTTGTAAGAATCAGATAAGGAATAAAAAGAGAGAACTAAAGCACTTAGATGATAAAATATACAAATATCGAGACATGCTAAAAAATTTAGTTAAAATTTTTTAAAACTATCGAAGTCCTAACTTTTTCTTCTGAGTCTTTTCAAGATCAATCTTTCTCTTGCTAAAAATACTGCCAGACTTAAGAAGTTATTGGAAAAATTTAAACCTGAACAAATTCTTGGCTGAAGGTAAAATATTTATTTTTGGTGATTTCCTATTCTTCCTCTACAGAAAACAAAGACGATTTTATGCTTTATGATTAAAATCGACTAAAAATTAGACAACATAGAAACCCAAAAGGCTTGGAGCAGAAATTCTGACAAGACAAGCTGGCAACTAGAACATTTACAATTACATAAAGGATACCCTTCCTAGAAGAAGATGTGAAAAGATCAATATTTTCAAGTAATAATGCAATCTCTTTCATATCTGGCACTCTGGAAGATTGAAAATATTCTAGTATATTTAAGCAAGAATCTTATATTACTGAGAACTCTTATAAGCAACATCAACAGGCTATTTCATATGTAATTCATATCCATTTAGTTAGTAAATCATGTTTGTTTAATATACCCCAATAGAACTAAACTTATATAAACCATTAGTTCTAAATAAAAACCCATTAACACTCAAATGCTAACCTTTATTAACTTCTTTTCGTCTTTATAAATAAAGGGTCAAATACTGTCACCAGAAAAATGAGCAAAAGCACATACACAGGGCTGTCTTTAAGAGTGAGAGGGGAGAGGAATAAGGAAATTGCTAATGTAGCAACTGAGATCAACAATATTTATGTCTCTTGTTAAAATGATCTAGAATCTACAATACCAACAAAAGGCAGAGAAGAACAAAATAAAAACACATTAATTTGGGGCTTCCCTGGTGGCGCAGTGGATGGGAGTCCGCCTGCCGATGCGGGGTACACGGGTTCCCACCCTGGTCCGGGAAGATCCCATGAGCCGCGGAGCGGCTTGGGCCCGGCTGGGCCCGTGAGCCATGGCTGCTGGGCCTGCGCGTCCAGAGCCTGTGCTCCGCAGCGGGAGGGGCCACGGCAGTGGGAGGCCCGCGTACCGCAAAAAAACAAAACAAAAAAACAAACAACAACAAAAAAAAAACACATTAATTTAATTAACAAAAGCATTTCAAGGCCTACCATTTAAATCTGAATTGAGTATTCTGCCACACTGGTTAAATGTAAGAATACCTACTGGAATCAATGACTTACGTCTCCCTCTGGAGCACATTTGTTTCCATGTCTTGGCTATTGTAAACAGTGCTATGAACACTGGGGTGCATATTATCTTTTCCAAGTAGTTCTCTCCAGATAAATGCCCAGGAGTGGGATTGCTGGATCATATGGTAACTCTACTTTTAGTTTTTTAAGGAACCTCCATACTGTTCTCCATAATGGCTGCACCAATTACATTCCCACCAACAGTGTAGGAGGGTTCCCTTTTCTCTACACCTCCAGCGTTTACTGTTTGTAGATTTTTTGACAATGGCCATCCTGACTAGTGTGAGGTGATACTTCATTGTAGTTCTGATCTGCTTTTCTCTAATAACTAGCAATATTGAGCATCTTTTCATGTGTCTATTGGCCACCTGTATGTCTTCTTTGGAGAAATGTCTATTTAAGGTCTTCTGCCCATTATTTGATTGGGTTGTTTGTTCTTTATCAAAAAGCTTTTATTAAGCTGTATGAGCTGTTTGTATATTTTGAAATTAATTCCTTGTTGGTTGCATTGTTTGCAAATATTTTCTCCTATTCCACAGGTTGTCTTTTTTTGTTTACAGTTTCCTTTGCTGTGCAAAAGCTTTTAAGTTTAATTATGTCCTATTTGTTTATTTTTGTTTTTATTTCCATTACTCTAGGAGACGGAGCCAAAAAAATACTGCTGCAATTTATGTCAAAAAGTACTCTCCTTGTGTTTTCCTCTAGGAGTTTTAGAGTATCTGGTCTTACACTTAGGTGTTTATTTTTGTATATGGTGTGAGAAAATGTTCTGATTTCATTCTTTTACATGTAGCTGTCCAGTTTTCCCAGAACCACTTACTGAAGAGACTATCTTTTTCTCCATTGAATATTCTTGATTCTTTTGTTGTAGATTAATTGACCTTAAGTGCGTACGTTTATTTCTGGGCTTTCTATCCTGTTCTACTGATATACATGCTTGTTTTTTGTTTTCCTGTTCCACTGATCTATATGCTTATTTTCTGCTTTCCTGTTCCACTGATCTATATTCTTGTTTTCCGCACCATACCCCTTTGATTACTGTAGCTTTGTAGTACATTCTGAAGTCAGGAAGCATGATTCCTCTAGCTCCAGTCTTCTTTCTCAAGATTGTTTTGGCTATTCGAGGTCTTCTGTGTTTCCATGCAAATTTTTAAATTTTTTGTTCTAGTTCTATGAAAAATGCCATTGGTAATTTGATAGGGATAGCACTGAATCTGTAGATTGCCTTGGGCAGTATGGTCATTTTAACAATATCTGTCTATGTCGTCTTCAATTTCTTTCACCAGCAACTTATAGTTTTCAGAGTATAGGTCTTTTCAGCATAATGTTTTTAATGCTCATCCATGTTGTAGTATATATCATTTCATTCTTGTTAATCGTCAAATAATATTCCATTGTATGGATACACCAAATTTTATTTACCCCTTCATCAGCTGGTGGGCATTTGGGTTGTTTTCACTTTTTGGCTATTTTAAATAAAGCTTCTATGAACAATCATGTATGAGTTTTTGTACAGATATATGTTTCATTTCTCTTGGACACATACCTAGGAATGAACTCACTGGGTTATATCATAACTCTATGTTTAACTTTTTGAGGAACTAACAGGCTGTCTTCCAAGCTGGCTATACCATTTTGCATTCTACCAGCAATGTATGAAGGTTCAAATTTTTCCACATCCTCATCAACATTTGTTATTATTTGACTTTTTGATTCTAGCCATCCTAGTGGGTGTAAAGTGACATCTCATTATGGTTCTGACATGCATTTCCCTGATGATTAATGATGCTGAACATCTTTCCATGTGTTTACTGGCCATTTGTATATCTTATTTGGAGAAACAGCTATTCAGATCCTCTGTTTATTTTAAAATTGGGTTATCTATCTTTATATTGCTGAGATATAGACTTTTAAAAAATATTTTGGATAAATATGCCTTATTAGATATATATGACCTACAAAATTTTTCTCCCATTCTGTGTGTCTTTTCACTTTCTTAATAGTATCATTTGTTGCACCTAAGTTTTAAATTTTGATGAAGTCTAATTTAACTTTTTCTCTTATTGCTTATGCTTTGGGGGAGTTTAACTCTCCAGGGTAACCATTTTTTCAATCTGACAAAGGAATGTAATAGTACTAACTATGGTAGAAGCAAAGGCAAATTACTTTAGCACACTACAGAACTTCAAAAATGAAATCTAATCCCCAGACTTCAAACGCTTTTAATTAAAAATCAGCCACTCTCAACTTTGAGGAATTTACCTGAAATAAAAACACTCTTTCAATTGAATGACCACACTGATGCAGATGGATTATATGATAACCGTGAAATGACAAAAGTAGAATCAGAAAACCTGAGAATGAGTCCACTTCCGGAAACTCCACAAGCCTCTCACCAGATTCTTCTCTAAAATAGTTTACAATTTCTATCCCAATGACCTAAAAGAATTGTGAGGCGTAAATGAGATAATGTGTGTTTAAGTACTTGTCCCGTCCTGTTTGGTATCAAATACTATAGTTACTCATACTGGACAGGTCTAAACATAACATAAATGGGATTTTTCATCACAAGTACTTAGTCTTATAATTTATAACATCTGTTTTATCTATAAAGCAGTCCTTGTACAAGGGCTTTGCTTTGGTTCTTAAGGATTTAGGAGACCAAAACAGCAATCTAAGAAAAACAAGGAAGAAATTAATTTACACACAAACTAATATAACCTCATTTATTTTTTGTCTTAATCTATATACTTCTCTTACACAAATGTTTCCAAGTATACTCCAAGTATATTCCATTTTTTCCCTATTTGCTAAATGTTGCATTTTTTGTGTGTGAATTAGTTTTGTGTTACAAGGCACAGCCTCTTCAAATATCCTCCATTTTAAAAAGGATAAAAGATGGTATAAGGGGAAAAAGCTGTGTTGAGACAAAGTGGAACAAAAACAAAATTATTATCCAACATGTACGATAAGTACAATAGATTATTTCAGACAGGATTAAGGAGATAAACTGGACATTAAAAATAAATTGTAGCTGTCTTCACGAGTATGAGTCAACAGAAAGACAGACACAGACCCACATACATACATACACATATACATATACACACACATACCCCCCCCATCATCTTTAGTATTATCTTACTGAAAGAACAGTAGCTTGCTGTAAGTAAAAGCTCGAATATTTTGACTCAAGTAAATACCCAGAAGGGACAAAGGACAGATAAGAAGGAGCCAGGACAACTACACAGACAATGTCTGGCAGAAGAGGTTCAAAATGTAATAAACAGTACAGAAGATGATGGGATACACATAAAACTGCACCTTTCATGGGCAAGTAAAGGTAAATACTGCCTCTTCTCTACTGCATAATTATCTCTTCACACAAAATAACCTTAAGAGATGTATATTTATCAGTCCCAGAGTTCCCCAGAGGCAGATTTTTATGCTGTTTTATGTTTCACTCTATCATTCCTTTCACATACTTACTATCATCTCCAACGGGACCTGCTGAACACTGTGCTGGGGGGTCCCGCGCCAGGTCGTTCAATTCCTTAAGAAGGAGAGAAAAAAGAAATGTATTCAACATAAATATAACTTTTATCCATTAATAACATTGTCACTGTTACCAACATTCTCTGTCCCACCAGTAAAGCTCTTTTAGGAGCACTCCTTCAAAGTCAGAGAAGGGTAGATTAATGAAATCTTTGGGATTTCATTATTTGGGATTCTTGAATGCAAATTATGTTTATACAAGTAATCATTTTTGCTTTGTTCGGAGTTTAGTAGGTATTAAATATAAGGAAGGTAAACATGTATCGTACTAAAGAACCACAAAAACTGTTTTTAAGTAAAAACTTATTAGTTTTCAAAAAAGATCAACGGCTTTTTTTTTAAAAAGATTTAATTTTATTTTTTTGGCTGCAGTGGGTCTTCGTTGCTGTGCGTGGGCTTTCTCTGGTTGCAGCGAGTGGGGGCTACTCTTCATTGCAGTGCCTGGACTTCTCACTGTGGTGGCTTCTCTTGCGGCGGAGCACGGGCTCTAGGCATGCAGGCTTCAATAGTTGTGGCACGCAGTCTCTGGAGCGCAGGCTCAGTACTTGTGGCACACGGGCTTAGTTGCTCCACGGCATGTGGGATCTTCCCGGACCAGGGATGGAACCTGTATCCCCTGCACTGGCAGGCAGAGTCTTACCCACTGCGCCACCAGAGGAAGTCCCCATAGGCTGGTTTTTGTACCTCAAAGCCATTAGGTTATACTTGAGACAAACTCTTTAAGTCATCTTTAAGTCATAAATGTTCCAAATTACACGGAACCATCTGACAAGATACTGGTATTTTTTCAGCTCATATCTACTACCAAGGTTTCAAATGTAGTAGAAAAAACTTAAAAAAGGGTATATTACAGGGCTTCCCTGGTGGCGCAGTGGTTGAGAGTCCGCCTGCTGATGCAGCGGACACGGGTTCATGCCCCGGTCCAGGAAGATCCCACATGCCGCGCAGCGGCTAGGCCCGTGAGCCATGGCCGCTGAGCCCGCGCATCCGGAGCCTGTGCTCCGCAATGGGAGAGGCCACAACAGTGAGAGGCCCGCGTACTACAAAAAACAAACAAACAAAAAGGATATATTACAAAGCTGGCTGAACATAACCCATCATAAAGATTTGTAATCAGAGATGGAACTACTTGTAGTAATGCTCCACAACCAGATGCCAGCTTCTTAGCTACTTTAACGTAAGAACCCACAAAGTTGAGATTTGTTACTGGGTGGGGATGCCTGAAAAACCACAAAGCAGGAAATCATACTATATTCCCTTTCCCCTTGACTTGGTATTTGAGATAAAAACAAGCTCTGAGGGAGGACTAGTTTTAATTATATGTTAAAACCAGAACAGTAAAAACAGTAAAATCTATTAAAAGTAAAATAAAAACTATCTCAAATCTTATTAATGAGTTACATAAGTAAACTTTTTAACTTGCAACACATAGATATTTCTGTAAGTCCCTTCTTCTGAGTTAACTTATTCAACCAGCCATTTGGTTACATCAATTATCCTGTTTTATCCTATCTGTAAGCTCGGAGGACAAAGCATAAAGTATAGAAATAAAGTTCTGTTTTGTTTTTTAAAGGGCTGGGGTTGAGATAAAGATTTAACAATATTTACTTTCTTTCATATCTCAATTTGGTGATTTTGTATTCCTCTACAACAGAGATTCCTTGCCCATCTCAAGGAGGAAAACAAACAAAAAACAACCTACTGTACAGTTCCTATTCCCAAATGTTTGTAATAAAGGTCACTATAACTAAGAATGCTTGCTTGATTTGAAACAAAAAGTTAATCTACTTCTGACTAACATTTATCTAAGTGAATATAAGATTCATCAGATGGTGATCACTTTGTAATGTACAGAAATATCAAATCACTATGTTGTGCACCAGAAACTAACATAGTGTTGTGGGTCAACTATACTTCAAAAACAAACAAACTCATAGAAAAAGAGATCAGATTTGTTTATCAGAGGTATGGGGAGGTGGTGAATTAGTCAAAAGGTACAAATTTCCAGTTATAAGATAAATAAGTACTAGGTATGTAAATGTACATCATGATAAATTAACACTGCTGTATTTTAAAAAATATTTTATTTATATTTTTGGCTGCATCGGGTCTTAGTTGCAGCGCTCGGGCTCTTCGTTGTGGAGCGTGGGCTTCTCTCTAGTTGTGGCACGTGGGTTCCAGAACACGTGGGCTCAATAGTTGCGGCACACAGGCTTAGTTGTCCCTCGGCATGTGGGATCTTAGTTCCCCAACCAGGGATCGAACCAGCATCCCCTGCACTGGAAGACAGATTCTTTACCACTGGACCACCAGGGAAGTCCCAACACTGCTGTATGTTATACATGAAAGTTGTTAAGAGAATAAATCGTAGGAGTTCTCATTACAAGGAAAAAAATTTTTTTCTTTACCTTTTATTTTGTATCTGTGAGATGATGGATATTCACTAAACTTACCATGGTAATCATTTCATGATATATGTAAGTCAAATCATTATGCTGAACATCTTAAACTTAAATAGTATGTCAATAAAACTGAAAGGAAAAAAATTTGAGCCATTAAAAAAAATCCATCAGTCCACTTCATGAGCCAGTATGATATAATTAATTCAAAAAACCTTAACCCAAACTTAAGCTAATACACAATTAACATACTCATTCAACACTTCCTTGGTTCAAGGCACTCATATGGATGAATCTCAAAGGCATAATGTTAAGTGAAATCAGTCAGACATAAAAAGACTATATTCTGTATGATTCCACTGATATGCATTTTAAAAAAGGTAAATTTATAGTGACAGAAAGCAGACTAATAGTTTCAGGGGCTAGAGAGAGCTGGAGGGGATTGAACTGCAAAGGGACATGAGGAAAATTTGGGGGGTTATGGAAATATTCTATATCATGATTTTCATAGGGACCACAACACTGTGTATATATTTATTAAAACTCAAATTGTATACTTAAAATTGTTGAATTTTATTGCATATAATATATATCAAAGTTGTTTGCTAAAAAAGCATATATCCATTCATCTTTGTATATGCATAAAATATCTCTGAAGAATACATAAGAAACTAGTTCACAGTATTTGCCTTCAGAAGGAAAGTCTGTTTTGGGGGTGAGAATAGGAACTATATGTATTCCTTTTATACCTTTTAACAAGTGTATTTATTGCCTATTTGAAAAATAAATTACCAGGGGCTTCCCTGGTGGTGGCGCAGTGGTTAAGAATCCACCTTCCAATGCAGGGGACACGGGTTCGAGCCCTGGTCCGAGAAGATCCCACATGCTGCGGAGCAACTAAGCCTGTGTGCCACAACTACTGAAGACTGCGCGCCTGGAGTCTGTGCTCCGCCACAAGAGAAGGCACCGCAATGAGAAGCCCTCACACCGCAACAAAGAGTAGCCCCCGCTCGCCGCAACCAGAGAAAGCCCGCGCACAGCAACGGAAGAACCAATGCAGCCAAAAAATTAAATTAATTAAATAAATCTATATTAAAAAAAAATAACTTACCAGTTCTGACTATAAATTTTGATTAAAATAAAATAGCTATTAAAAGCTGTGACCATCTCATTTCAAAATAGTGAAAAGCCAGTTGGACTGAATAGACACAGAAGCTACAAAATTTGATGTGCCTGCATTAAGATGAAAACTGAAGGGAGTTCCCTGGTGGCCTAGTGATTAGGATTCCAGGCTTTCACTGCCATGGCCCAAGGAACTGAGATCCTGCAAGCCGAGTGGCGTGGCCAAAAACAAAACAAAGATGAATCTTGAAATTAAATAAAGGCACTGATCTAGACAGATCATTTGGGCAGAAAAAAATACCCTAACACATCAGGCTATTTTTTAAACAGTTGGCTTTATCATATGCCTTTATACCTATATATTAATTTCCTTGACTTCTTATTCCAAAAGAAATAGTATTCAGATTTCTTGTATATCATATAGCAAATTACGCATTACTGGGATTGAGAGTAGGGCTAAGACAAAACCCAAAACCAAGGAATTTTCCTGTTTATTGAAAAACTTTTCTATAGAAAGAGCAATAGAGAAATAAAGTATATATAATTAAATTTAGAAAAAAGAGGGAGGAGGGAACTTTGACAGGATCCTCAATTTCTAGAAAGATTTTATAATCTTCCTTTGAAATCTAAAAAAAATTAAAATAAAGGTCCTGTTTTGGGAAAAACTGGATATTACTAAATAGTTCTCAATTAAAATTTTTTTCTTTGACGGTATACACTCCCCTTGTTTATACGTATACAGCCGAATTGTTATTTTTAAAGATTAAGGGTTATAAACAATTTTGATTCTCTGCGACTTTCCCAAGTATTTATCTTAGTTCAAACAGCCCCAAAACCTTACACAAATTAATTTAATTATTTTCAAGTAAGGTTTAATTCACTACACACTTTTTTTTTTTTCGGCTGTGCACCACGGCTTGCGGGATCTTAGTTCCCTGACCAGGGATCAAACAAAACCATGTGCCCTGCTGTGGAAGTGTGGAGTCTTAACCACTGGACCACTAGGGAAGTTCCCAAACTTTTATATTTTATTTATTATTTTTTTAACTTTTTTAAAAACACCTTTATTGGAGAATAATTGCTTTACAATGGTGTGTTAGTTTCTGCTTTATAACAAAGTGAATCAGCTATACATATACATATATCCCCATATCTCTTCCCTCTTGCATCTCCCTCCCTCCCCCCCTCCCTTTCCCACCCCTCTAGGTGGTCACAAAGCACCGAGCTGATCTCTGTGTGCTATGGGGCTGCTTCCCACTAGCTATCTATTTTACGTTTGGTAGTGTATATATGTCCATGCCACTGTCTCACTTTGTCCCAGCTTACCCTTCCCCCTCCCCGTATCCTCAAGTCCATTCTCTAGCCAAACTTTTAAATACATTTCCTAATACTACCTTTTTTTGGCTCAGGAATATGAAATCCAATGAAGAGATACACAGGAATGATTATAATGCCTTACATGACTCCTTAAGAATAC